TGAATGACATGTCAAACTACGTAAACAACATAGTATGGTAAAGCAAATGGAACCATGAGCATGTCCATTGCTAGTAAACTGAACACTTATGAACAAAATCAATACTGGAGGATATTTTTCAGAAGTATATACTGTATGCTAATCCACAGGTCTTTCAAGAACATAAAATGCACTGTGTATCTGTATTCGTGTTCTTTCCTATGTTTTATTGCAATATGAAATAACAAAATTGTGTCATAACTGAATTGGAAGCCTGCATGTTCCAAGGGAAACTGAACATGAGTATTTCATATGTTCAAATGTTCAAAAAGATGGATTTTGATACTCCGTAAATCAAAGTGCATGCTTTACTAGAAAGAAATGAACAAAACCAATCTTAGGTCAAGGCTGATTTTCAGACAGGTTACTTACATAACCAATCTGTAAACCTACATGGTATTTTAGGCATGCTCCAAAATAACTAAGCCTACATACTCACCTAAAATCAATCAGAACCTTTTTGTTTGGCAATCCTGAGAAAAGTTCGCTCTTTATTCCATATTCAGACCCATCTTCAAATACCTGCTGCAACACTGTCTTAGGAAGCAAAATACACACAACTACAATGGGAGCAATGAATTAAGGGATCATTTTAAGACCAAGGTAATGCCTTACACTGATATTCGCAAGATCATGAATCTCTCATTTCACAAAAATCTTCTGAGACTTCACATCAGCTAAGCAGACATCTGCAAAATGCTTTTCAAATGCACAGACAGCAAGCAGCCAATGCTAATTCATCTTTTTTTGAGTTTTGATTACTCTTTTGAACTGGGAACATTCTTATTTTTCAATCTGCCCATGCTCTGTTCACAAAACATGGTATTCATATCCACACAACTATATATTTTTAAACAGGTTAGCAATATTGCAATCAATAATGACATTAATTATGGATATCATAAATCACATCACTATTATTCATGCAAAATGATTCATTTTTTAAAAAAAACCTGCTGTTAGGTGAATGCTATTCCTTTTTATCTGGTGTGTTTATTTGTAAACTGTGTTTTATTGTTTTATATTTTGAACATTACATCATTATTTGCATCTTGGGGAGAACATTTGAGTTTAAACTATGAAATGGAATAGGGACTGTATGCTATATACTTGTATTCCTTACTGAAAACACTAGCTTCAGATTTAGCCTGTTTTTCTATTCTACAGTTCAGAAGACATTACCTCTTACCTTTGCTAATAAGTCTCGATTTATCGTGAAATCTACTGTTCCTTTGCCTGGGCTGATTTTGCTCACAACTGCATCACATTTTAGCTAAAAGGAAAGTAAAACATATAGACCAGTGATGGCGAACCTTTTAGAGACCGAGTGCCCCAAACCCAGCTCTGCCCCGCCCCCCACTCCGCCCCCCGCCTGCCCACAGGGCCATCCCCGCCTCCATGGCCCGCCGCAGATCACCCAGGTGGCCCAGCAGCACCATGGCAGTCCCCCCTTCGCCCGCACCCTGCAGCATCAACTGTGCGTGACGGGGCGCAATGGCGGAGTCTTGTCCCCGCTACATGTCCTTGGTTGTGCTGCTCCACGTGGGCCATGCTCGGGAGTGACTCTCCGGCGGGGTGACTAGTGAGGAGGGGGCCGCGGGGGGAGGTGGGGCTGGGGCAATGGCATGGGTGCCCACAGAGAGGGCTCTGAGTGCCGCCTCTGGCACGCGTGCCATAGGTTCACCACCACTGATATAGACAAAAGACTATACCACAAATAAGTAGAACTATCTAGCACACTGCATTATGCAACTTCACATTTTCAAGCAGCCTCTGCAGGGAGGGCAACAAGGTAGAGCAGCATTGCAATGGGAGGTCTGCTGCTTTTCTAGGTGCATTTTCACACAGCATGCACATGCCAAAGGGGCGGAGCTTGTGGCAAAATGCCGCTGTGTCTTTCTGACAAAAGCAGCAAGAACTTGTACACAATGTTGTTTTCAAGAATTATAGCACCTGTAGGCTGGGTCATCTATGCAAATAATTTTTAACTGCATTTCAAGCAAATGTGGAAAGACGATAGATTGCACTCTACAGTTGTTGAAAGGTAAAAGAATGGCTTTTCTTTTCACTGTTAAAAACAACAGGACAAAGAATTGACCTCCAAAAGGCTTCAAAATCTGTAGCTCAGGATACCATTTTTCATCATATTTATGCAGTACAAAACATTTGATAAGCAATTGTTATTGACGCTTCTGATTAATGCTTATTACTAGATACCTTGTTTGCCAGCTTCTCCGCCTGAAGATTAATATCTGATGTTGTGGAATCTGTAGAATTAGTATCCAATATAGAACTCATAAAAAACTGGAAATCAGCAGCTTGCCTTTAAAAAAAAAGGGGGAAAATGTAAAGGTTCAGACTCTTTTTGTGACAGAGGGGTCAGGATTCGTAAGATTTAGAGTTAACATAGCTGAAAGTATTTTCGTCCTCAAAAGTTTCTGAAAGAGCAAATGATCTGTGAAAGTAATATGCCTAGTTAACAATATACAAGCTAGACCTTGTAGTTCCTATTCTTCAAACCTTAAAAGCTGTAAAATGGCACTTAGAGATCTGTTTGCCCAATGATGCCTAATGTTAACCACCCTTATGGGAATGTTCTGGTCTCTCAGATGTTGCTGAACTACAACTTACAGTAGTCCTGGTCAGCAATGCAAAGGATACTGGGAATTACAATTCACTAATATCTGTAGGTCACTGGCTCCTACTCCTGTCTTAGGTGATACTAGAAATAATGTGAATTAGAAACAGAGACTGAATGAGTTAAAATGCAGTGCCAGGACTTTACCCCTAGTGTTATTTGCTATTTTGTACATATCACAAAAGGATCTCAAGAAATTAAGGTTCTAAAGTATAAATATCCTACCTATTTTTGGATACTGGAACAGCAGAGATTGATTTTACCAGGTTTTCTGGCGGAATCTTCAAAACATGTGAAAGCTATTTGAAATAAAATTGCCAAATTGAGTGTGGAAGAATAAATAGGCAACAAAATCCTTGCCATCATTTTATCTTCTATTTCATTACATAAAAATTTATTACATATAAACACACACAGAGGTTACATTCTTTCAGTGTACAGATGGAGATTCATCTTTCTTTCCTACTTCCATAAGAACTGACCAATATTTATGAATACATCAGGGGTCCCCAATCCACCGGGTCGCAGCCCACTACCAGGCTATAGCCTGTTTGGAACCGAGCCGTGGAAGCAGCAGGCAAGCACATACATAGCTCTATTTGCACGAGCACAGGAAGGTGGGTGGGCAGGTGTGAAGCTCCATTTGTGTGAGCAGTGGGTGTGTGTGCCTGCTGCTTGTGCAAATGGAGCTGTGCGTGCGTGCGCAAGCCACTTGCACACCATTCCCTCTCCCCTCCTCCGCTGGTTCACAAAGCTGGAAAAGTTGGGGACCGCTGTCATTCATTATCCTTTGTGGAACTGGAGTTATCGTTTCTATTGAAGATCAGCATTCAGACAAAAATGTACAGCTTCACCATTCATTTCCTTTCTGGAACTGGAATGATCTTTTCCCCTGAAGATCAACATTCAGATAAAGACCTACAGTTTTGAATCTAGAAGGTACAGGGGCTTCAAATCCAAGCAAGCAAATAGATAAGTCTAGGTGTTATAAAACAAGGGAGGTCCATCATTCCCTTTTGGCTAGCAATGCCATACTTACATATGGAAACTACCCAACTTGAAGCAGATTTTCAGAAGCAACAAGAAACAACAGGGCAATGATTCCAATATGGAAGGCAAATCCTGCAACAATACTAGATGCCTACTTTGCCCCTATACCAACATCACCATCACAGACCCCAGGAAGTACCTACAGAAAATTAGATGTGTCTTGACATGTTCACCCTCCACTGTACAAGAATCAATAGACACAAATTTGACATCAGTACTGAAATCGAGGGCAAAGCTATATCAGAGCATTTCAACCTCCCAAGAAATTATAAGGCAAAAGTGATTTTTTGTTTTGTTTTGGAAAAACAGTCTTAATAGCATAGATGGTTAAACATGGAAAGGTTTCAAGGTATTTAAAAAGGAATCAGCAAACACAATGTTTTTTCACACATTATAAACTCATAAAACATGTGTAATCTCTCTCACAAGTAACCTACATCAGCATAATCAACCTGTCTTCCCCTCCTCTCCCATCTTAGTATCTGATGAAGTGGGCTCCAGCTCACAATAACTCATACTTTTTAAATAAAATTTGCTGATTGGAAAAGGAGTCCCCAAATTCCTGATTGTTTTCCCCCTACGGAAGGAATGCATTACAGAAGTTTTTGAAAACTATTTTCAAAAATATCTCTTTGAAAAATAAGCAGGTATTTCAGCGTCCCTGGGATGCCAAAAACAAACCCATTATTTTACTGAAGTCCAAGTAAATTACATCCACAGCATTTCCCTGATACACTAATTTAGTCACTTAATCACATAATAAAAGTTCGTCCGGCATAATCCATGGAACAGTTTGCCTCCATCCCTGGAGGTCTTCAAGAAAAGACTGGACAGCCAATTGTCCGTGACAGAATAAGGTCTCCTGCCTTGGGCAAAGGGTTGGACTAGAAGACCTCTTAGGTCCCTTCCAGCCCTTATGATTCTATGAAAAGGGATGATCAATACCTGAGCAGCGATGCACTTCCGGAAACGACAGCTCGCCATAGTTCTCGTTAAGAGTGGCGCTCTTCACTTTTCCATCCCTCCGTCATGGAACAGCCCACTTGGGGGAGGAGCCACTTCCAGCCTGACTTCCCTTCCTGGTAACGGGGGCGGGCGCAGAACTCGCCTCAGAAAGAGAATACGCAGACTACGAGCACGCATGGGGCTAGAGCAGGGGGTAGGCAACCTTGGCTCTTTTATGACTCATGGACTTCAACTCCCAGAATTCCTGAGCCAGCTATGCTGGGAGTTGAAGTCCACGAGTCATAAAAGAGCCAAGGTTGCCTACCCCTGGGCTAGACCATAGCATTCGCAGGGCGGGAAAGAAACGGCTGCACGCTCCTAATTCCGGAAGTGCGCGTGTGAACGTGAATAGGGGGGGAAAGGTGTCCTTCCGGAAGTCCGTTCACGAATGTTGGAGGTCCAGCTTGGCGCCGAAGGAGGCTTCAGCCTTCGCCATGAGCACGTGCTCGGTTTCCAAGGTGAGTCGGAAGGAGAGGGAGTGGATTCAGTCTCCTCCCTCGAGGAATCGAACGGACGCCTCGCTTTTGGGTCTGCGTGAGGGAGTCAGTTGGCGATCCTGGTGGTCGCTTAACAATGTCCCTCCCTCTTCGGGCATGCGCATATGGGTTCGCTGAAGCTGTAGTTTGGTGGCTTTCCAGCTGAGTGTGTGTTGTGTTGCGCGGCGGCGACATCTCGCCTCTTTCTTTCTTTCTTTCTGTCTTTCTTTCTGTCTGTCTGTCTGTCTGTCTGTCTGTCTGTCTGTCTGTCTTCCTTCCTTTCTTTCTTTCTATCTTCCTTCCTTCCTTCCTTCCTTCCTTCCTTCCTTCCTTCCTTCCTTCCTTTCTTTCTTTCTTTCTTTTTGGGAAGATGGAAAACTGGCAGAAAAGGTTGTTGGCCCGAAAGGAAGACACTAAGTGGAGAAAAAGCAAAGCCAGGAGTCTGGAAAAAAAATGTGATTGTGGTTATTGTCCTTTTCGCCCGGTCAAGTCCCTCAGTCTGCATTGTTCACAACTCTCCTGTCGTCCCATTGCTGTTCCATGCTGTTTAGGAGGCAGCATAGTAGAAAGGAGGCGTCTTTTTCCCCCCCCGGATGGAATAGCCCTGTTAAAGAAGTTTTCCCTCATTTGGGGTGAGGGGGTGAGGTGAGGAAAGGAGATGTTCATGCCAGAAAATATGCACTTTCCTGGCTGATCATGGTAATGGCAGAAAGTGAAGAGGAACTAAAGAGCCTCTTGATGCAGGTGAAGAAGGAGAGTGCAAAAGTTGGCTTGAAACTCAACATTAAGAAAACCAAGATCATGGCATCCGGCCCTCTCAATTCCTGGCAAATAGATGGGGAAGAAATGAAGGTAGTGACAGATTTTATTTTCCTGGGCTCCAAGATCACCTCCGATGGGGACTGCAGCCAAGAAATTAAAAGACGCTTGCTCCTGGGGAGGAAAGGTATGGCAAATCTAGACAGCATACTAAAAAGCAGAGACATCACCCTGCCAACAAAGGGCGTATAGTCAAGGCCATGGTTTTCCCAGTTGCAATGTATGGATGAGAAAGTTGGACCATAAGAAAGGCTGAGCGACAAAGAATTGAGGCCTTTGAACTATGGTGCTGGAGAAGACTCCTGCGAGTCCCTTGGACTGCAAGGTGTTCAAACCGGTCAGTCCTAGAAGAGATCAACCCCGACTGCTCTTTAGAAGGCCAGATCCTGAAGTTGAAACTCAAGTACTTTGGCCACCTAATGAGAAGGAAGGACTCACTGGAGAAGAGCCTNGTCGGACACGACTTCGCAATTAACAACAACAAAGACATCTGGTTAATATATTGATGGGATATATGCAGGAAATCCCAAAGTGGTAGGCTACACTGGGAAGTGAAGAAAGCAAACCATTTAACTATTTCTGCCAGGAAAGCCACACAGGCATCTCCATAAGTAATTAGTTTGCCTTTTATTTTCCCTAGTATTTGTAGAAAGAAGCTATAGTGTAACCCCTCTTAGTGCTTTCTTGCTAGACAGTACACAGTATCTCTAGAAAAGAGATCGCCAAAGGTTTGTGGCTGGTGGTTTGGCTAAGATTTGGGGAACATGGGCTCTTTGAAAACTCACAAAACGAGTGCTACACAAGTCATAACAATTGCAAAGACTGATCCACAAGGATGCTGCTTGCCACCAACTGTAGCTTTCCCCTTCCTGCAAAATTGCTGCTTTTCCGTTGTTCTTTTTCTGGGAAGCTGGGCATATTTCCAAACTAAACATTAGATTACAACTATTCATTGCTCTTATTTTCTAATAAAACTTTCAGGATCCAGAGGAAAGAGTAGAAGCAAAAATAACGGTAGTGCTTTTTTTGTGTCTTTTGTTTTTGTTTTTGTTCATTTTCCTTGAGCAAATAACCTATTTGGCCCCATGAAGTGCAGGTAAACTGACAATCTTGAGTCAACAGTTGGGAGCAAAGACTGGTGGATCTAGAGAGCTATCCCTGCTTACTAAACATGGGAAATGGCTGATTAGTTGCATATGGAGGAAAGCAGGAATTTATATTCCTCTCTTAAATATTATTCTGACTCTTTCTTAGCATCTCTTCTAGAGATCTCCCAGTGTCTTCCCAAACCCAATATATAGCCTTTGGTCTAAATCCAGTATGGGTTGGTCCATTTATTCAGTGACTTTTTAAAGTTATAATGCCACTGAAAAAATGGACATAAGACCAAACCTCAAAGTTCTGATCATCAAAGCACCTCACAGTCATCAGATCACATTTATGATCATCTGTTCCCCCCCCCCCATGCCACCAGCTGACTTTCGCTTTGCATGCCTCCCCTCTGCAGAACTTATCAACACCATCTGGTCTCAAGCCCTAAGGAGTGAAGGCTCTGTTGGCCCTCCTCCTCCAGCTGCCTTATCACAGAGGAAATATCCAATTGCTGCCAAGCATTTTGGACATGCACCATGGGCGGGGTGGAGATGGGGTGGGTGTATCTCCAAAAGGCCACTGCCTGGCAGGATTGCCCTGGCCAGCAGTGGCACATAGCTTGGAAAACTCATGGCCCTGGCTCCTGTTCTTCCTTTCCCAGCACCCACCTTTGTTCCCTGCAGTGCTCACCCCACCTATAGCTCTCACCCACCAGCTTATTTGCCTGTGTCTCCCATCTCTTCCCATGTCATGGTCACATTAGCTTCTCACTTAATGACTGCATCAATTAGCAATGGAAATCCCAATCCTAATTGCCATTATAACTTGAGGACTATCTGCATAACTTGTCATAAGACTGTTTTAGTTGATTGCTCAAACGATTTCAGTTGTAGTGTGTTAAAACCACCTAATTCAGGGGTCTTCAAACTTGGTCCTTTTATGACTTGTGGACTTCAACGCCCAGAATTCCTCAGCCAGGCACGCTGGCTGAGGAATTCTGGGAGTTGAAGTCCACAAGTCATAAAAGGACCAAGTTTGAAGACCCCTGACCTAATTCTTCTCCATAATTGTAATCTGAGTCTTTGTTGCCCAATCAGTTCCCAAAGCTGTGTCTGTGATCCTACCACTAATCCAAAATATTATGAATGTGATCCAATCACAAGACTGACTCTGATTAGGATGACAACAATAATAGTATTCTAAGGTTAGCTCCAGTCTGAAGACAGATCAAATTGATCTTGAAATCCTTCTCCCCTCTCCATCATTGTAATTTGCACAAGCTGAAAATAATTTATTCCTCCCAGTTTTTAATAAGGTTGTTGCAGTATTGCAAGTCTCAGCACACGGGTGCTTCAGTGCAACACAATTAAATTTTTGTTTGATAACAAAGGAGAGTTAGATCTGTTTATTCAGTTTTGGGTAAATGACTGTCTTGATTTATTCCGATTTCCTGTATAATTGGGGGTTTGTACAGGCATGAAGTACAATTCTAGATAAGCTTTTGGGCTGAGCCAGCAAAGCCTTCATGTGTTACGATGACTCATGTTTAAACCATACTGTGATAATAGATAATTGATATACTTCTTGAATACTAAAAATTCAGCATTATGTAGGAAAAGCTCACTTTTTGGCTATTGCATATTTTGTTTGATATATACAATATTTTCATGTTATGGGCAGCTTTTAAAACAGCATTCTCTTCATACTTTCTCTGAAAGTGAATCTATATCAGTCATTTCTTGTGAATAAATCAATATAAATAAATCAATATAATTAAATATATATAAGAATAAACACAATATTTATCAAATGACCCTGTCATATTTAAAGGTTTTGTACATAAAATCTTTAGAAATTTTAAAAAAAACAGTAAATAAGAACAAACTTTTATTTTGTTTGGCGGTATACATTTTTGAAAATTTTGCTTATTGTTTTGAAACTATGAACATTGTGACATTATGTTGTGTAAAATATAATTTTATGCATTTGAATTTTTTTCATGATAGAAAATATTTATTTTGAAATTCATATTTTGAAGTAAAATATATTGAAAAGTATTTTTCCTACCATGAAGAAAACATTCTAAAAATTCCTTTATGAAACAGTGGCAATTGCAGATATTCAATTTCTTGTAAAAATGAAGGTAGCATATTTGTTAGTCCACTTAATAAATCCTTTGTTCATCTTAGAATAAAACTCTTCTTAGAATAAAACTCTGATTGTTCTTTGTTGAGACATTAGGGAATATATACACAATAAAACATAATTATCTTCCTTTGATGCCAGCCCCATGGAATTCACATACTTGTTTTTAACGTGGGTTGATTCGGCACACAAACACATATGGTTTCTTCTGTACTATTTGGAGTAGCTCATTCACGTCTATTTAGTTTACTGAAAATTGCATAGATAAAAATAATTTTATATAAATAAAAGATAGTGTTTCTAGTTTTTCCAGTTGCAAAAAGGGTGAAGTTTGGAGGAGCAAATGTTAATGAAGGAAATATAAAATTAAATAAGTGCATCACTTATAATAGGTCATTTCTGTCAGTGTAGAATTAGGACAAAATGTTTAATGGAATCAATATTTCTTTCTCTCTCTCTGTCTTTAGGGCTGCTTTGTATTCAAGCCAAATTCTAACAAGAGAAAAAGGTCTTCAGCAGGTTAGTGTGCAATAGATACTGTAAATTTCCTGCAGCAAAATGAAAATTACATGACTAATATTTTGTATGTAATAAAATGAAAGTTATCACTTTGACAAGGCAATGAAACACAAATTAGAAAAAAAAAGGGAAGGATAGTTTGTATATATAAATACAAATGAGGCTACATATATGTTAATTTCAGACATTTGTTTTATTTCATCTTGAGCTTTTTTTCTAGCTGCAAGTTTGAGTTTGTGTTTAACTTCTACTCTCAGATGAAAAGAAATAAATCCCAATATTTTTTTTAGTGCTCTCTTAAAGGTTTTCAAGGATTTTTTGGGAAAAGCTCTTAATTTACGAATACTGAGAGTGAACACCATCTTCTTCTGTCTTGTTTTTCTAGCTGACTATTTCAATAAGGGAAACAATGATTTGGATAATAGTGAGTTACGACTTGATACTTGTCTGTTGTTATGGAAACAAATTAAATCTGAAACAGAGGTGAGTATTGCTTTTAAAGTTAACTGGGAAATGGATTTCATGTCTGTTCAAGAAGTCTCCAGAGAGCCTTCCAAATAAACAAATAGTATCAGCTATTTTAAAGTGCCGATCACACTAAATGAAGTAACAACAATTTTGTTTTCTTTTATTTTTTTGAGCAGAATGATAACTTCATACAGGTAACACAAGCAAGTGTAGAATTCAACATGCAAGCAGCAGGGAGCAGTGTGAATGTTTACAGGAGAGAAGCATTTACAAACAGTTGTGAATCTGAACCCTTGAGATCACACTGAAATTTTGCTTGTACATGGAAATATTTCTCACTGTAAATAGTTCTGTTATACATACTGGCAACTGGCTGTTTGCTGTTAGCACTGTGATACCTACGAAGGGAGACAGCACTCCTCACTGCTCACACAGGAATTCTGTATTTATATGAACCGAGTTCTCTCTCTCTCGACTTCTTTCAGTCAATAATGCATGCTGCTATAAAGCATGGATATTTTTCTACAGTTACAGGTTGAATCCAAACACTTTGAATGAAAATAACTAGGGTGCTTTTCTGCTAGAAAATGGGGGGTGGGGGATGCACTGCTTTAGCTTCCCTTTCCTTTTGCGTCCCCCAGCAGATCCTCCCAGTTCTGAAGGCTTTTTCAACCTCTTGAGCAACACGAGAGGATAATTAGGGTTGCAGGAGAAAGTGTGAGTTATAAATAGTGATTACTCTGTTCTCTCTCCTTTATCACTTCTGAAACCTGAGGATTCTAAATGTGGATTCAAATGAATTCTTAAGAACGAGTTTATGCAACAATGCAGTTAGTTAGAATAAGGTTCCTTAGACAAATATCTATTTTTTTCCCTGATGGAGGATGAGTCTTCTCACTGCAGTCAGTGTATTCATACAGAGGGAAATATTATTAATCTGGAAACAGTTTAGTAACATCTGTACATGTGGCATAAATTATTTGAGAGTAAATCTAGCGGCATCAACAAATATAATTTCTTACTGTGGTGTTATGTACTTCTGCATGAAGTGTTTCTGCATAAACACTATGCAGGAATGCATATATGCCTATGTAGAAATTTCTACATACATATAAATATAGAGAGATGGACTAATAAGTTACTAGATTTTGTCAATATGGGAAAAATAGTCGTAGCATTTCATAAGTTCCTTCGCAGACTATAATATATAATTTGACTATAATTGTGGATGCTTTGTCCATCTAGCAAAAAAAAAACCCGGCAATAAAAACAAGTTTATTAAAAGTGCTATGAGCAGCACAAGATGTACAAGATGAAGTCCACGAGTCATAAAAGCCAAGGTTGCCTACCCCTGAGCTAGAGATATAGAGACATAATGGAATGCATTTTATGGCCTTAGCTTCAGATGCAAAAGTAGAATCTGTCTTGTTCTCTATAAAATAAATGTTAGGCAAACCTAATGCATCATATATTTTATACATTATATGTTTTAAGTTTGTAATAATTTCACTTATCTTTTGTAGCTGTCTAAAAACAGTTACAAATCTTCTGGGATCTAGTTAAAAAGCCTGAGGCTCTTTTTTTTTTTTTACAGCAACTACAAGAGGACTTGAATAAGAACCTATTCGATAACCTCATAAAATTTCTGAGACAATCTCATTTAGATTTCAAAGAAAAGAAAGCAGAATGGATTTGTCGGATGAAGTCCAGCGAAATTCCTACTGCAGCTATTGTTCTAGGTAGTGCTTTTTCTGGTATTTTGATTTAATTAATAAAAACAGTTACTTTTAACATATTCTTAAAAAATGGAACTTTAAGACAGCCATTGTATCACAAATCATGCAATTAACAATAAGTGATTGTTAATTAGTATATCATTTATGAATGGCAATAGGTTACCATTATGAATGGCAACTATATGCTTTGTTTGGTTTTGTTAGAGCACAGGTTTGAACCTCTATCATTGGCTTATTTTTTTCCAAAAAGAGTAATGCACATGCAATTTCTGATCCTAGCTAATTAGTTAAACTACAGTAGTGGCCAAAATTGTGGAAAACGTTTGGGAAAAGTTTACAGTAGAAATGCCACCTTTGGTTAAGTTTCCACCAATTTTTCTTCTAATTTCTTTATAACTGTAGTCTCGTTCACTTAATAATACTATTTTACATCGCTTTCTGGGCAACCAGTCAACTCTTTGCACCATTACTTTAATTTTATTACGTTTTACAAGCTCACTAAATGAAAGAAAAAAAAACCCAACCAACTTGATAGTGATTACATAACACACTGACAAATGTCCTCCTCTCAGCTTCAATACATGACATCAATAACTGAATCCTACTGTGATCTGATTGGCTCATTGCCAAAACAAGATGACACCTGATTGGCTCTCTAAACACTCATGCTCGTTGGCTACAATCAGATGAAGGAAAGCTACCTGATATCAACCTAAGCAAGTTGTGCTTCCTTTTTCTGATTATTACTATGTTGCATTACATTCTTGATTAAATTATCTTTCCATTGATATATAATTTTATGGTACTACTCCCCCCCAAAAAGTGGTATTATTAGCCATCAAACCTCAAAAATACACTTTTCCCTAAAGGTTTCCACAATTTTGGCCACTACTGTACATATTTGCCCCAGCGATGTAGAATGTTATGTCATCAAACTTAGTAGCAAAACCATACATTTTCTGACTGTAACTGTGATATTGAAGAGTTTCTCTTTGTGTCTGACTTCCAAGCTATTCTAGTTGGAGAAAGAATGCCTGGGAAAATGTAAACTATGTAAAGATAAGATTCTGAGCTTCTCATTTACAGTGATGCTAAAATGTTTATGAATTCTTTTTAATAGTTCTGCATACATGTGACCGATAGATAACATGATCTATTTTCCACACAAGTCCTAAAACTAAACAAGGATTCAATTAAACAAATAAGTCAAAAACACGATCCTTGTTCATTTACTTCATTGAGAAAAAAGTTCCAAAGCTACATGTTTGTGTGAGGCAAAAATATGTCAGCCTTTACTTTAGGTAACTGGCCTGTCCTCCTTGGACAGCAATAAACTGCAAACAAATGTTTCCAATAACTGATCCGTCCTGCAAGTTGGCTTGGAAGATTTTGAGTCCATTCCTAGTTACAGAACAGCTTCAATTCAGGAATGTTGTTGATGAGTTTCCTCCAAATCCTATGGGATTCACAGAAAAGAATTTTTCTCCATTAAGGATTGGACACGAAACATTATTCTTCAGAACCCATTGAGAATGAAGTCCCTGCCTGACTGTGCTCAGTATTCTCTCTACTGTTAAACATGTGTTTCCTAAATGTCTAATTACCACCCATATTTTAGCTTAACTTCTCAATGATGTTCTTACCCTGTGTGGCTTCCTAAAGGTAATAGGATGGTTAACTTCATCTTAAATCCTTAAGGAAAGTGTTTAAATTATACAGTATAATATGCTTTATATTTCCATATAACTCCTGTGTACAGCACCCCAGTGATTTTAAATCAGCTTTGGCATGGCCAATTTCAAATACAATAATATTTTATCCCCTTTCTCCAATCTTTGCAAATTGTAAATTGTTAATGCATTCTTAGCTAATAGTTGTTTGTTGACAAGTGATTTTATATGTGTTCCCTGTGGTTCCAGATTCTGTTATTTCTGTTTTATGTGTACATAGCACATTTTTTTTATTTCTAGGATAGTCCACTTGTCTTTTCTTAGGTCAGCAGCCTTTGATGTTTCAGATCATCCCACAATTCTTGTTTTAGTTTATTTTTACTTAGTTTTTCAAAACACAGGACGCCTGCAGTGTCACAATCTGCTATGTTCCAAGTTTTAAATGCAGTGTAATATGTAATAAAGGTAGCTAAAATGTAAGTTCAAATAGCTCTTATGTGACTTTAATAATTATTAACTCCCCTCCATCTCCAACTTTTCCATTCCAACCACTGTCTCATGTTTTTTGGTACAATCTGTTTTTCTCCTGAGAGAAAAAAAGAAAAGATGAATGATAATGCCACATACAATTTTAAAAGTTATGGAAATACATTCTTCGTATACAGCATTATAAAATAATCAATTTTGGCTGCTTCCTGATAATTTTTTAAATATATTTCTGTATTTCTTCCTGATATCACAAAAATGAAAGTTAAGTGAAGAAGTTCAATATTTCTTCTTTTTGAAGTCAAGCGTTATGCTTTTCTTTTTGTCGTTTACGTTCTGCTATTTCTTCTATATTATAGTAAGACTCAAATGTCTGCATTGAGTTCTGTCATTGCTTATTATGTGGAAAAATATTAATAGTCATTGATACATTTTTGTTTGATTGATTACAGCATATGCTTTATACTTTGTCTTCTGACATGCTTGCATTTTTTTCCTTTATGTTTTTAAAGAAATGAAAAAAAAATTAACTTGTATAAAAGAGATGAAATACAGCATAAATTTATAATTATTTCTGGAAATTGCAGTACTTGTACAAATGATTGCAATAATCTAAAAATATTTTACTTATCTAATTTTGTGACCAGTGGTGTCATTTGCAGTGATAGTGAATACATTTTGACTTTCAGGCCAAACCTGCTGATCTCAGGCATATAAAGAACATAAATTGACTCTAAAATTCTTGCACAGTGAGATATACAGTACCGTATTTTTCCGTGTATAAGACGCTATTTTTTTCCTGCAAATACCCTGTTCAAAAATCAGGTGTGTCTTATACAAGTGCACCGTCTTATACACGGAAAAATAATGGTAACCTCCGCAGCCCAGGGCATGCCTGTGTGAGTTGCCATGCCGCCTGGTGCAGGTATCAAGCCCCTGTGGGCTTGCCACTAACGAGAGAGGGGAGGGGGCAAGATCATCGGCTGGCCGAATGTCCGGATTTTCTGGCTCAGCTGTTCGGCGCTCCGCCAAACAGCTGATTGGCACAGAGAAATTCGCATGCCAGAGCGTCTTATACAAGGGTGCGTCTTATACACGGAAAAATACAGTATATCAATAAAATTAAATGAACACATGTAATGAACACAATGTAATTTATGTTTTAATCAGCCTAGTGTGAACATAAGGTAATTAGATTCACCGTTCTGCTTTTCTTTAGCTTTTTTGTTGCAAATGTAAGATAGTAGTATGATCACATTTAAGTTGATTTTCCTCAAAGAGCCCTTCCTTTAAATATTCTGGATATGAGGGGGGGGAAAGTCATAGGAGGGAAAAATTAGTTAATAAGGGTATGTAGAATTGCATAATACCTAGTGCCTAAAAATTATCTCCTACCTGCTCTAGCTGGACAAGCCTAATTTCCATAAAATGCAGTTCTTTTTAAATTAGAATTGATTTACTGTATATATTTTTACTTTCTTATGTGTCAGATTACATTAACATTTACAACGATTCGTCTGCATGTCTCTGAAATTTCTATGAAAGTTGACCTCTGCTGATTATAATTTATTAGAGACAGCATTTTATGGGACCTTTTGTTGTCAAATGGAAATTGCAATTGTGACTTTAATAAAAAAAAATTCCTTACGAAATTCATCTTTGTGCGAAAGGCCTAGTTCTCCTGTTGCCAGTTCAGAGTATAGTAACATTCCTTTGCCCAATGCCTTTGCCCCTGAATCTTAATTTTAGCATTTTTCAAAAATGTTAGTAGAGCCTAAGCATCTTTTTTTATTTTCTCCTGAAAATGGTCCTGCAATTAAAATTTCATTGAGCGCTACCTCCTCCACTAATATTGGATGTGTTTGTATTTGTTTTGAATTGCAAATAGACTTTGCAATTTTCTCTGTTGGTTTTAGCTATCCATAAAGAGGAATGATACAGTTTTGGCTGCTCTTTCTCCTAGGTGTAAATGTTACAGACCATGAACTAACAATTAAAAGTCTCTCTGAGGTTCTTCGAGATGAGGTCACTCCTTTTGTGGTGTCACTGAAGGCCAAAGAATGTCCAGGTAAACATTGTAATATATTGGGGAAACTTTTACCATAATGATTTCAGCAACATGGTAAGTACTTCTATAAAACTGTTTGGATGTGCACTGCTTCAAATTTCAAGGGGAAAAGCTACTTCTGAACTGTGAATGGGCATATGCATGGTGCCTTTCAGCAACCAATGGAAGCTGAGATTTTTTCCCCTTGATATTGCTGTAAACTACCATAAAGATATTGAGCAAATTTGCTTACCGTAAATGATTTACATTGTATAATTAGGTTTCCTTTTCATATAAAGTTTTTAGTTGGTTTGATGTAGAATTTGGATTTGTTTATGTTGGAGGATCCCAAATTAAACAACGATCAATTATGTGAAAGAGCTAGAAAAATATAATTCTAATTTTTGTTTTAGAATAACTCAAACATTGCACATTTTCATTGCCTTTTCAATTTTGTCTTTGTATATTTTTTTGAACTGGGAAGGAATAAAGCAGCTGCTACAAAAGTTGATTATACAGCTCATGGGCTGTGACGTAGAAGTGGATTCGTCTGAAGAAGAAGAATGTCCCAAGATTTCGTCCCAAAGGGTACGCTGCTCTGTAGCATCGCTTACCGATTGGTATAAGAATGTAATCCAAGTAAGTTTCAAAATTATTAGTTCGCATAGTGCTATTCTTTTCAAACTTTTATTGGTATTTCAGAACTTGTGTACTATCAAAGTGATTAAATAGCTTTTTTAAAAAAATAGGGACTTCTAAGATGTAAAAAGACAAATATATTATGTTGGATAGAATTTTTTTATATACTTCTATATTCCATGTAAATCTTGGAAAGAAAATATTTAATTTTGAATGTTTTATTAATGATGGATGAACCCAAATATGATAAGAAGTATATCGTGGTACTTATTACTTTTTTGAATCATAGATATTTTGCATCCTAGGATTACAGAGTTTGAAGTGATAATTTAGGAAATCAAGTCCAACCACAATTTCAATACATGAATCCAAATTAAAATATTGCAACAGATGGTTATCCAACCTCCACATCCAGTAAATGGGAAGTTATAACCTGTATGAATAATTGGTCCACTGTCTTATTGCTTGAAGCCTTTTTTAATAAAATAAAAAACGCAATCAGAATCTGCCTTCCTGTTATTTAAGACTTTATTCCACATTCCACATTCTGGAATGTTGGACCAGAGATACTGATTTTTTCTGGGGGACATTCTTTTTATTATTCAAAGAGTTCTGTCTGAAATCCCCATCCCACAGTCTTCTAAAGGCTGAACATTCCCAGTTTTTTCAATCTTTCTTCATAGGGAATCAGTTTTAGTCCAAATTAATTTATAGGATTATTGTGAAGAAAAGTAGAGGGCAGTGTAATGTTTGCCACTTTCAGCTCCCAAAGATGGGATATAACAGAAATAAGTATATGATGAGAGATAGCAATATTTTTGCCTTTATATACTCTAGCAATGTGTAAATTGTAAATGAAAGACATTGCTTTTTACCTTTCGGATTTTTATGATATTTTTTTATGTTTCATCTGTTGCTCTCAGTAGGCGAGACAAGTATAAGCATTTTGGAGTTGGGATCACCCATCATTGCAAGACATGTCTGAAGAACAATGTTTTTGGATCATATACTGTATATTTTAGATTGTATGGCACTCTCATTTATTTATTTTATTGCCCACCTCTAATATTGGATATTTTTACTACTAAAATGGAATGGGAGTTAAACATATTTTAATAAATAAATATTTCAGGAAAATGGGATACGTTATTTTGCTTTTTTTATTTACTTACTACATTTATATCCCAATTTTTTTTTGTTTTTTGTTGGAAAATGTGGTGGTACCTGTTTGGATTCCACAATTTAGATCATGGTCTAGAGCAGGGGTAGGCAACCTTGGCTCTTTTATGACTTGTGGACTTAAGCTCCCAGAATTCCTGAGCCAGCTAAGCTGGGAATTGAAGTCCATGAGTAATAAAAGAGCCAAGGTTGACTACCCCTGGTCTAGAGAATGTATTTTTCCCCCCAATTCATTGTTTCAATATATGCAATATGATTTGCAGAAAACTGAAACTGAATCTCCATGTAAGAAGAGAACATTTTCATCCAGACACTGGGAATCTCCTCCAGTTGTAATTATTTTCAAGGATATGGAAAGTTTCACAACCAAAGTTCTGCAGGAGTTCATAATTATGAGCAGGTAAGATAACAAATTTAAAATTGAAGCTATTCTGGTCCATGTTCATTTTTCTACAGGAAATAAATTACTAATTGGATTTATATTTGCTTTTTCTTTATTGCTTGCAGTAAGTACAGATGTTGACTGGAGTTAATTAGCTTTGCCTATGAAATTTACTTTATAGGGACGGTTTTATAGAAAAATGCATATGTCTTATGGAGTCATATTTACAGTCCAGTTCTTTTTTTCTTTTTCTTTTTTTACAATTCAACTGTTAGGCTTGCAAACATTTGTTAGCTGGCCTCTGAGCAAATTTAATCCAGAGATAAATTTGCTCAGCATTAATAAAAAATGAAATTCAGAATTTTGTAATTTGGTTGGAGTCTTGCATATCATATCATAATTCCATAACAGTGCAAAAATAGATATTGGATATGCCTTTTGTCATTTTACAGTATTAAACACATTCTTGAAAATATCCAGGCATCCCAGTTAAGATCTCACAAGCCAAAAATTTGCTATGTGCTGCAGAGTATGTTGTTAATCTTAATAGAGGAAGATGGACAAATTATTAAAATTAGCAGACATGGAGATCATGTGATTTAGATACGGATCACAGCATTCAGTCTCCTGTTTTATAAATTACATTAAGTCTTAGTATTCAAATATGCAATTGAACTAGACCAGATTTTAGATTAAACACAGCTGATTATTGTAGTATAATATGATAGCCAACTAAGGACTTGTAAAGTTTCTGTTTCTAATTTCTGACTGGGACTGCAAGGAACTGTACAAACTGCATTTCTGTTTTGTATATATCACATTAATAGATCACCTTAATTTATGATAATCAGGAAAACGGAATGTCTACTCTACATATAAAGTGCAAGTCTCTTTTTAGTTTTTGGAATCAAGGTGGTCGCTTGTTTGTATTAGTACAACACTGTTGATAAATTCTGTGAACTTGAAATATATGGAAGAAGTCAAAGGCCATCTGATTCTCTTACACATTAATTTTTCCCAATTGTTTATTTTTACCGTAGTCATTGTATACGTGAATTTCCACTGGTCCTTATTTTTGGAATTGCTACATCTCCAATGGTCATCCATAAGCTGCTTCCTCACTCAGTGTCCTCTTTGTTATGTATAGAACTCTTCCAATCTCTTTCTTCCAAAGAACATTTAACTAAAGTGATAGATAAGGTAATGCTTTAAGAAAAGGTGTTGTATATTCTATGCAAATGCTTAATAAAAACCAAAATGTTCATAGCTGTTCATTGTTCAAAAAACGATTTTAAAAGATCAGTTTTCTTAAGTTGTAAAGGTTCTTCTCCACCTATTATTTGAGCCCGGAATTGAGCCCGGAATTATTGTAAATTGAGCCCGGAATTATTGTAAATTGTGGCAGTTATTAAACAGGCCACTGCATGCCCATGCCCAAATTTGCTACCTTTTTTTGCAGCGGTCGTTAAGCGAATGCCAAAATTGTTAACCAAACACCCCGGTGTTAAGTGAGCCTGTTTTCACCAATGGGAGTTTTTTTTGCTGGAAACCAGAAGTAAATACTGAAAATTGGCAAAAATCCCCAAAAGTGCAGCAATGTGACTATGGGACTCTACAAACAGCCATAAATGCAAGCTGGTTGCCAAGTGCCCAAAATGTGATCATGTGACTGGGTGTGTGTGGTGAAATTGCAGACATAACTTCAAAATCAGATCATAGCAGCTTGGGGGAGGTCTGTTATATCTTTGAATGGATGCTAAAAGACTGGTCATTAAACAAGGACTACCTGTACTATACTTTTTATTATAATTACCACTGTAGATTTCAGATCAAAATCCTATGCATATGTTCTCTACAACAATTAATTCCACTAGCAGAACTAAACATGAGTGATCCTTTTTCTCCTTGGCCCTCAAGCAAATTTTGGAGGTGTGGGGTGCACAGGCTTGGGTTTTAATTCTATCAAGCCAACTAGACCTCCATTTTCTCAATCCCATTCTCTGTTCTTTAAAAAAAAATCAGTTGCTCAGTTCATACAAAAGCACTAATATTGTTGAATTTAAAAGAACATTTGCCATTATAGGGTTTCTCATTTAGAGAAACCCTAGAGAAACTTAGAGAATTCCAATTGTAGAAATAATTAACCATCTTATTTCAGAAATACATCATTTATTAATGTTTTATTTTTTTCTCTCTATCAGATACTTCTGACCAGTCAGTTTCCATTCAAAATTAGTGAGAAGGTTCTGCAGGTGTTAACAAATATATTTTTGTACCATGATTTCTCGGTTCACAATTTTGTCAAAGGATTTCAGGTAAGTGTTAGTAAAAGTAGTTGCATTAACTTTGGAATTCTGAGTGATGGTAAATTTTGTGTCTAGTTTTCACTATGAATGATGACGCTGTGTATGGATTAGAGATTTACTAAATATTCCTGCATACAAGAAATTTTCCTACACATTAAAAAGTAATATGAAAGAAAATAGTATGTGGTAAAGTACTTGTCCGTGACGTCCGGTTTTTAATCTTTAGATATTTTTCTTTATATTCAGTCATAGGAATGTTGTCCCTATTTACAAACAATTGGTGAAATGTTAGATTGTATTTTAGGAGTCAGGGTGACAGGTGTGATGGCTTAGACCAGTGATGGCGAACCTTTTAGAGACCGAGTGCCAAAACTGCAACCCAAAACCCACTTATTTATTGCTGGGTGCCAGGTGGGCGTGGCTATGGTGGTCATGGCAGACTGGGTGGGTGTGGCCAAGGTGGGTGGGGTCACCTCGATGTTGCTCGTGGGGAGGGATGCCTGTGGGAGACGGGCAGGGTTGGGGGAGATCCAGGGGGTCTCTGGCAGGTGGGGCGGTGGGCAGGAGGCTTGTCCTGTGGGGTGAGGCGAGGCAAGGCAGGGTGGAGGTGCCATTGTCACAAGGCGAGGCAGGGGCCAGGGCGGCTGCTGCCTGACACCATCGGCCCCTGCACACAGAGGCCAGCAAGCGCATGAGGGCTGACAGTGTCCGTCAGCAGCCTGCCGGCCCCTCGACCGGCGCACTCTGGGGCTCCGCAGCCCACCGCCAGCAGTTCAGAGAAGCTGAGGAGGCGATGCAGTAGGTTGTGCCTGGGAAAAGGAGAGCATGTGAGCCAGGAGGGACAGGACGGGGGGGGGAGGAAAACCAGCCGTGCTGGGATGCACCCGGCCACATGGGACCTCAAGTTAGCGGGTGGCTGGTTGAAGAGGGACAGTTGCCATCTCTGGGGCATGGCACGTGTGCTCACAGAGAGGGCTCTGAGTGCCACCTCTGGCACGCATGCCATAGGTTCGCCACCACTGGCTTAGACTATCCTTTTGCTAGTGTGGAAAAGAGTCTTCCCATCTTTAACTTTGGGCACTGGGAAGGCAAGTCGGAGGCAAAGGATTGCACTGCTATTTCAGGGACATGGGACAAGGTATGTCACCCGTGGATTTTATCAGAAGAAGGAAGATACAGAAATAGAGGTCAGAAAAGAGGTCAGGGGAAACTGAAAAGAGCAGCAGCCTGTTCTGCTATTAGACAAGATGGACTCCAGAGTCAAGACAAGAGAAAGAAAGGCTTTTCTTCGGGTTGACAAGCTTTTTGACCACATTGCTCGATTATGGAAATTCCGATCCCAATTGCCCTTGTAACCCGAGGCCTATCAGTATATAAAATTCATCTTGAAAAATGTTAGTTTAAAGATTGGGTCCGGCATAAATGTCCATCAGCAGAAAAAGTTTTGATATAGTAGAATTTTTCAGTTTGGGTGAGTGTGGGCATCCAGTGAGTCTTGGAAATTTCTTTTCTTCTTCACTTTCCTAAGACTTGGAGGATAGTGGAAAAACAGATGCCAAGGGCTGCAGAAGGAGGAAAGAATCGATTGCATCACACCGTTTATATCAGAAGAATCATTCTGAGTTTGGAATATTCTTACTGGCAGAATAAAACTCTGAATGGGTTTGAATGTTGAATATTCCTAATAAAGAAGTGATAATTGGTAGAATTAGTTGCATAACGCTAGAGAGTTGGCATGAAGAATGAAAAGCAAAAGACCTTGTATCTGACACAGTGAAAAGTTATGACGCTAATTGACAATGATGTCTCATTAATCAAAGGATCCTGCCACACAAAATGCCACCTTTTCCAACAGAATTGATCCCTTTAGTTTGGGGTTAATTTTAGTCTTCCTGGTATCTAGTCGTATTAAAAAAAAAAAAAAAGCTAAACCAAATCTTGCTTCTCTTGGCTTTCCTCTTGACCTGCTAATCTCCTTACAATACAAACAAGCCTTTCAAATAATTAAGATCCAAATACTATATATTAAACAATAAAAGGAACTTAGTTTAATTTCACATATCAGTGGGCATTTAGAGTATCCTAGATAGGAACTCAACAGCCAGTTTGGTGCAGTGGTTAAGGTACTAGCTTAGAAACTGGGAGACCAGAAATTCTAGTCCTGCCTTAGGCAGGAAGTCAACTGGTGACCTTGGACCAGTCTCTCTCTTAGCCCTAAGAAGAGGGCAATGGCAAGCCATTTAGAAAATCTTACCAAGAATATGATAAGGAATAGTGTTGCCAAGAGTCATCACTGACTCAAAAGTGCAAGTACGTGTGCATACACAAAAGATTGGAACCATGTAGATATTAAGACACAGTGGTTAGGATGCAGTATTGCAGGCTAATTCTGCATTCCACTGCCAGAAGTTCGATTCTGACTGGCTCAAGGTTGACTCAGCCTTCCATCTTTTCAAGGTTGGTAAAATGAGGATCCAGATTGTTGGGGGCAATACGCTGAGTCTCTAAACTGCTTAGAGAGGGCTGTAAAGCACTATGAAGCAATATATACGTCTGAGTATTACTAGTGCAGGGGTGTCAAACTCAATTTCATTGAGGGCCGTATCAGCATTGCAGTTGCCCTCAGGGGGATGGGTGGGTGTGGCCAGGGTAGGCATGGCCAGGTCTACATTGTTCGCGTCAAGGGTGCCTATGGGGGCCTGGGCAAGAGTGGGACAGATCTGAGGGTCTCTGGCAGAAGGGGGTGGGACCGGGGCAAGTGCCAAGGCATGGTCCACTGGAGGAGCCTCACTGTTCCTCTCTGGCCATGCGGGGGGGAGGGCTTATGGAGCTAAGACTGAATGCGTTTCAGCATAGATGGCCACCACAAAATTGTACATTGGCTCCCGCTGGCCAGGGCCAGGGCCAAGGCAGAGGGGGCCGTTCCTCACTGTTTCCAGGATGGCTTCGCAGGCCACATGAAACCACTTCACGGGCCACATCCGGCCCCCGGGCCTTGTGTTTGACATGTCTATGCTAGTGCTAGTGCTAGTCACACTTACATCCCTAGCTCAGCAGTGTCTATTTTAATGTCATGTTCTGCCTACCTCAGCGATCAGGTAGCCCAAATTCCTTTTGCTAGAACTTGTCTGCAATTTGCAATTCAAATTGTATAGAAACCCCCTAACGTTTTGTTGTATTACCCTTATTAACATGGTAGCTGTCGTTCTCTCATCTGTTGCGTATTTGAATATTTGCCAAGATGATTAGATAAGTTTTATCTTGTTTTCCTCTTATCAGACCATATGCCTAATTTTGCATATAATGTACCCACATGCTGGGTCACTGTATTAAAGGACAAATTGCTACAGAATTAAATCTGCTATAAAAAAGAATAAATATGTCCAGAGTAAGTTAAGTTGCATGTTATGGTGTTAGAATTTTACATACAATTTTAAATCAGTTTGTTATTATATATTATTATCGTATTATATGCTATATTATAATTTTGCTGTCCAACTTTTCTGATAACTGATTGAATTAATGTATATGTGTGCATATTAACAGAATTACAGAAAGGACTTGGAGGTCTTCTAGTCCAACCCCTGCTCAGGCAGGAAACCCTATACCATTTCAGACAAATGGTTGTCCAATCTCTTCTTAAAAACCTCCAATGTTGGAGCACCCACTACTTCTGGAGGCAAGCCATGTTTATCCTGCTGTCTGATTTACAACTATATTAAAATGCATATTGTTTCAGCTTCAGAATAACAGTTCAGGAGAATGGATTTATTTTTCTAAAAACTATAATAATATTTGAATTGTTTTGATCAGTGTTCTTCCAAATTTTCACTTTACAATTTGACTTCCTTGTTCTTACAGCTGTCACTGTTGGAACATTTTTATTCACACCCTCTCAGTGTGCTATGTTGTGAAGTGCAAGAATCTGAGAAAAGAGTACAACTTTTATCACATAATCAGTTTGAAAATATTCGAAGATTACCATCTTTTAGAAGGTAAATAACTATCTAAACTTCTTGTCATTACATTTAATTATTTTGCCATTTCTTAAATCTTTTTGATTTAAGAGAAAATAAAGCATTACAATTTAAAGTGAATGATATAGGCAAATACATTCCCTAAATTGCACATATGTGCAAATCTATATAATATTCTTCATATTATTTTATTTATTTATTTAAAAATATATACGGCCACTCATCTTAAATGAATAATTCTGGTCAACTAACAACAAAATACTGTATATGTAAAAACATTATAAAACCAACATAAACCAAGACAAACTATAGCTTTAAAGACAATCATAATACAATATCTGAGGTACAGTGTAATCACAGTAATCAACACACACAAAAAGACACATTCTGTTTCTGCTAACATCCAGGCTATAATGCTTAGAGCAGGGGTGTCAAACTGGTGGCCCACGGGCCGGTTGCATCATGCAGAGGTCGTGCCCACCTCAGCTCCGGCAATGCAAAAAAAAGTCACGATACATCACGACGCATCACGTGATGCGGCGAGTTTGACACCTGTGCCTTGGGAAAAAAACATGTCTTCATCATCCTCCAGAAGGCCATCAAGGTCAGATCCTTCTGGATCTCGGAACAGGTTGTTATATAGGACAGCTGCCACAATAGAGAGCCATGTTTCCTCGGCCCTGCTAGATGATGCTGTTCCATAAGATGGACCCAGAACATGCCCATCCTGTCAAATCTGGTGGAAATTTATTTATTTATTTATTATTTAAATTTATATACCGCCCTATCTCCCTTACGGGACTCAGGGCGGTGAACAGGCAATAATAAAAATCACAGTAAATATTACATAAAAGCCTGCTCTAAAATATAAAACCCCTAACAAAACCCAATCAAAACTACGCCAGGCCGGCCGCATGGAACAGATGAGTTTTCAGGGCTCTGAAATGTGACTTTGTGCTCTTTAAGGCTTTAAGGGTGATAATTAGGACCTTGAATTGCATTTGGAAGCCTACGAGAAGTTGGCACGTACAATTGTGATGTCACTTGGGAGAACCCAATTCTATATGTGTTGCTGTATTCTGGAGCATCTGAAACTTTTGAATGATGTGGCTGGGAGAAACTGGCACAAGAAATATTGATTTTGGGAATTGAGTTGAAACCCTCCACAAAGAAATTCTCCCAGTACATTTGTAGTCAGAAGTTCAGAAGGATAGGAATGTCCCTGATTTCTCATGTCTAAGCCCCTTCTTTTCCTCATCATATGATTCAGATCAGAATTATTATTAAGGAGTTATTATTAAGGAATTGAAAATTAGCTTTTCCTTTTCCTCTGTTCAGGTTTGTCGAAAGCCAGGAAGTAGAGAAGCAGGCTGCATTGCTGACAGATGACGAATGTTTAAAGGTAAAGTCTAGGACTAAAAAAAATGCTACAATGTTTCTTATTTCAGTTAAGCAATACTTCTGTATAACATCCAGAATTTCATTTATGTAAGTGTGCCTTCATTTCATTCCTCACGTCTTCGAGATCTGCTCCATTGTGAGAATTAAGTGGAAGCATCAGGTTTGCCACTCAGAATTCCTATAAAATGGAAAATGATACATTATGAAATTGTATTTTTATTAGAGGGAGACTATGCACCCTCTACACTAACTCTTGAACTTTTAAATCTGCTCTTTCAAGCATAATTAATTTTAATTAGTTATTAGGAATAAGTACATTTCACTTAGTCTAAAAAGAAAGAAAAAGATACTTCCAAAAACGGATCTGTTAAAAAAAAAGAAGGAAAATATACTACTATAATGAAAGTTTTAAATTTTTGCCATGCTTTCTAGAAAAAACATCTTGTAGAAAAGAATTCTAAAGTAAGGGACTGAAAAGAGAAACAGCCTAGAACAGTGATGGCGAACCTTTTAGAGACCGAGTGCCCAAACTGCAACCCAAAACCCACTTATGCATCGTCGAGTGCTGGGTGGGTGTGGCCCATTGGGTGGGTGTGGCTGCGGTGGTAACGACAGACTGTGTGGGACTAAAAAGTTCAATCAATCAATTCCAACTTTGCAAGATCTTTTTTTTTTCCCGCGAGAAGTTGAAATTGATTGATTGAATCTTTTTTTTTTTTGCACACGGCGGTGGAGGCCTAAAGCGAAAAGGTTTTATAAAACCCAGCTGAAGGCCTAGGACTGGGGTGACGGCGCGCGTGCCCACAGAGAGGGCTCTGAGTGCTGCCTCTGGCACCCGTGCCATAGGTTCGCCACCACTGGCCTAGAATATTTATCAGCAAATCTCCTGACATAATGAACCCTAACTTTGCCACTTACCACCCATGCCAGGGCTGATGGGAAATTAACTTCAGCATATCCAAAGAGAAGAATTTGCCCATTTGTGATTTTGAGACTTAAGGGAAATGTGCAGGGATATTGTATGGATTCTGGGACCGTAACTGAATGCTGCATTCTGTTTTCCTCTTAATTTTAACTGTGAAAAATGAAAAGATTTCATATGCTGTGTTCTTTAAAATTTAAAAACCGAACAGCAGGTTGGTGAGCATAATCTGACTACTATAATTTACTTGCTATGATAATTATTCCAAAACAGGGGACACATTTCAATAACAGCTAGAAAATTAAATTAACATGGGATTCAAAGAGAGGCTGGGATACAGGAACTTCAAAAGGCAAAACATAAATCAACTTTATATCTGGCCTTCAGAGGCAGCCACTACTGATGAAGCTGTTTAAAATCTATATTTTAAATTGCTGAAAACAGTCACTGTGAATGATAGGTCATATAAATTCATTTCTGCAGTGTCCCTGCATTATTCAGTGTGTGCCTATTTTTTTATTCCCTATTAAGTTAGCTAACAGCATTTTAAGACAAACATGGTGCTTCGATTTAAAACAGTTAACTAAACTAGCTGCTTCATAAATCATACTAAGCCAAACATGGATTGTTTTGGTTTTGGCTTAATACAGTACAATGTGTACTTGTTTAGCAACCATTGTAAAGGAAAATACATTTAGCATGATGCACATGTCTTGATTAGGTTTACTCATCAAGCTACGCCACAATGTAGGTTTGCCTGTTTTATGTCTTTTTGCGATATGTGAACCCAACCATTACATTTGTAAACCATGATTTACTACTTACCATGTAATATAAACCCAATTAATAGCCATTCACAAGGTACAATTAACTAAGTCATAGCTTTCCTATGTAATCGTAGACACTGAATCCCCTACTATCATTAAAATAATAGTGAATTAATGTTAAATCTAAATGTACTCACTGAGTTGCAGTGCCAAACTGCATGATCTTTGTTCTTGCATACTGCTGTCCCCAGGACTTATTGACAAATTGGCTTGCTGGTTAGATGTGATGACAGCCTATTGTTTGCACTAAGGAAGAAGAACCTCAATGAACTGGGATGTAGGAGGAAGAGGGGAATGTGTAAACTTATTGATCATTGACATGCCAAAACTTGAAATGTTGTGTTAAAAATGGATTCAATTAGTGCAACCTGCCCACTAGAAAGCATTGTATATTTGCAGCCAAATAACTCAGCATGTTTATTTAGAAGCAAGTCCCACTGAATTTTCTGAAGCTAAATGTTCAAATATAGAAAATATATAATGATGAGATAGGTTTTGAATATTAATGAAATAAGAGATTATTGAAAGATGAATTGACAAGAACTAGTAAAATAAAGATGTGATTTTACAAATCTCTCTCTCTCTCTCTCTCTCTCTCTCTGATATGTCTGTATTTGACCCAGTCTGATGAAAAATGTTCTCACAGCTTTAGGTTTAATATGCATAAAGATTTTGCTCTTTTTTCATAAAAATGAAGCACTGTTTCTGAAAAAAAATTCTTATTTTATGGAGGCTTCAGTTCGTATTGACGTAGAAAAATTATTCACCTGTGGATAAACAGTACAGCAATAAAGCAGTAAAAGCGCCAGTGTTTTAATGCTATATTTTTCTATTAGATGGGGAAAAAACCTGTTAGATAAGACTTTCCCAAAACAGTGTTAAATCTTCCTTCTCTGGAAATTGTCCAATTTATTTCAGTATTATTACAACAGTTGAGTTTAATTTAAAAAAAAAACCTGTTCTTCCTCTGTCCCCCAAAAAAGAAACGCAGCAGTTCAGCATTAGTAGTCCATCATAGAACAAAATTATCTCTTTACTAAATTTAAGGAAACTGATGTACAGATGGATTTTCTCCTTAAATCTGCAGAGTGGCAAAATGAAAGGTATGGGATAGAATAATATCTGTTTATGTTTACTGGAACAAACAGATGTCTAGCTTCTACCAAACACTTGCCTCTTCTGTGAATTACTGTACTTTTTATTGTCCTGTTTTAATAACACTGAGTCTTCTGGTTCTTCCAAAGATTATTGTAATCTATTATTCCCTATAAACTGCAAGACATTTAGGACTTGATTCTGCACATATGCACATTCTGCACATCTTTTTAATTTATTTAATTTATTAAAAAAAACTAGGAGACCTACTCATCCTGGGGAGAAAATGCTTATCTTTCAGCTTATAAGGTACCAGAGACACAATTTTTGCTCTGCTACTTTAAAATGAAATGAAAATGCATCATTAAACTCAACAAAATTACAATATATTGTTAATGTATATGGAATGTTTATAATTTTCTTATGACTCCATTAGCAGTGGAGAAATTAAAATAATTTGGGATTTTTTCAAATAGAATAATTCAATTTAGCTATTATAGATTTAATGGGAAAGGGCTGCCTTGCTGTATGTAAGCATCTCCTTCAACCAAACACACGTTTTCCTGGAATTCCACTGTAGCTGTAAAGGGGGGGAGTGTCATGATCCCCCCCTAAAAGGTACCACTGCTTTGAGGAGTTGCTGATAGTTGTCTGTCTCTCCATAATTGTTTGTATCCATCATATGAGATCCAGCAGGAGACGTGCTTCAGATCCTGTCTGGCAGAGTGGAGTGCCATCTGCTTGCTCATGTGTCTGGGAATAAATCCCATTCAACTGAATTGAATTTACTTCTGGGTGGAATATAGAATAGCAATGCAATTTGTAAAATAGATTTGTAATGAGTAAATGACTAATCAGACCCTTCCTTTTTATTTTTAGGAAACAACACAAATATTGCTAAAAGATCTCTATAGTTACCATGAAAATTATTTCCCAATTTTGCGGTGTCTTCATGCTTTCACATCTTCTCTTCCAAAGTACCCATTAGGCAAACAAGTATGTGCTCTTTACGTATGTGTAATATTTCAAAATCTTGAGTTTGGTTTTCAGTGGTATTGCTTTTTCTTTATTTAGCCTGCACTGCAGTAAGATAAAACAACACTAACTCTTTTTTACTGCCAGACCACTCAATACATTCAAAGACAAAAGGGCCTTGAAAGTATTTTATAGCCCTTTTGACATTGAAATAATTAGGTTGAGTCAAATTGTCCTGGCTTCTTCTGAGCACCGAATACTGAAAAATATACCTCAGGGTGGGAAAGAGATAATAAAAAAACACATTTATTATAAGGCAGTGAAAGCAGTTTATTTTTACAGTGTGAATCTGTCCACATTAATTGTATGTACTTTCTTTATTCTTATTGAACTAACATTCCTGGATAGGGTAGGAGTTGTTTTCCATATCTGAGATCAGCGAAGCCTTACAATTTTATAAAGCTTTTATTGTCAGTAACAAATTGGTAAAAATGAACATTTCATTAATTTGATATTTCTAAAACATTTCCTGTTTTACAGATCAGAGAGCTGTATTGTGCATGTTTGGAAAAAAGCGTATGGGAAAGAGAGGAATACGAGTCTGCCATGCAGCTGGTGAGGTAGCTTTCTTTCTGTTTCTTTTTTGTATTCAAGACATAGTAAAAGTCTTCATGGGCTATTTAAGAAGAACCTGGGGTTGGAAATGTGTTGCCAGAGGAATAGTGGTTTGAAAGGGATGGGTTGTTTGTTTGTTTCGTTTTGGCAACTGGTCATTTTTTAAAAAATATAAAATAAGTGTTTTTAATGTTTGTCCTTTTTAATGGGATTGCCAGCTGGATTGCATAGCCCGATTCTACTTTTTCCATTCAGGCTGCTTGATCTTTGGATGAAACTATTCAATCCATGGGTCTGCTTAAATTTGTATCCTTCAGTACTTTCTCCAAGGACTCAGTGGAACAACTCTTGGAATTCAGTTAAGCCATTAGCTGATTAAAATAAAAATGTAGAAATTTAAACTTGGAACCATCACGATCCAGGCCTAATACAGTAATTAGTATACCACTCAGGCTGTCCTATGGCATATGCGTGTATATAAGTCCAGAAATATGTTCTGCCCTGTTAGACTTTATTTCTATAACTAATATTGAGATGGGTTAATTTGTGTGCTCTCAAAGACAGGGAGGCATACTGGATAGGATAAGATGGTAATGCTGAGATGAGAGTAATACTTGTCAGATGGGTGGCTGTGTAAAATGGATGGATGGATAGACGGATGAATGGTTGGATGGATGGGATAGGCCAGGGGTAGGCAACCTTGGCTCTTTTATGACTCGTGGACTTCAACTCCCTGAATTCCTGAGCCAGCCATCCACAAGTCATAAAAGAGCCAAGGTTGCCTACCCCCTGGGATAGGCAAATGTAATTTCAGGAATTGGTTATGGAATTTGGGTAATGCTTCTTTCCTCCCAATTATTTTCATTTTGGATTATGCTAATTATATCATAATCATATGCACGGGGACTTTTTTGCCCAATATATATTTTTCTAAAGATTATCTAGAAGTGCAATTAAGTAGAGATTTCATTCAAGCATGAATAAGAAGATCTGAAATACTGTGGCTTGGATCCAGGAGTATTTTGCACAAAGAGAAAAATATTTATGCTTCTGCAATGGCCCCTTTTTCAGTTTTCCAATTTTCTAATTTCAGCACCAATTGAGGCCCTCCAATTAATATTTCTTTCTTTAATTTATATATTTTATTAGAGCTCATTATAATATAAAATATGAATAGAAACTTAAGGAAAGGAAAAAGGGGGGAAAGAATGGAAAGTAGAGAGGAAAAGAAAAAGCAGCTGCTCCCAATTTTTTTTCAGTGCAGTAGAATACAACCCAATTTTGTCTTTTCAAGGTTTTCCTGATTGTCAGATGTAGCCTGGAGATCCTGTGCAGGGGATTGTAGAAAACAGAAACTTCAGCAAAACCTAACCTAACTGTTCAAACATGATTTCACTTACACACCTCTGGATGTGTACAGTATTTCTAAAGCTTTCTATGTATGGATTTAAAACATTTATTTCATTTTGATGTTATGTAATTACTTACATTCTATCCTGGCAAACCCTGACAATCTGGAGGCAGCGGGAAGAAAGGAAGGGTGAATCCAGATGAAAAACTTTTTAGGGTGTCTTTCTTTTGCCCCTCATTTTTTTAAACGATGAAAAGGGAATAACTTAAGTTGTACTGATGTCACAAGCACTTCAAATATGTTCTGATACATTCCATGTCTACATTTCATTTGGATAAGACTTTTAAAATTACACTGTCAAAGTTCTACAAATAAATGCATTCTATGAAGGTACCCTTGAGATAATGTTGCTTTCACTTATTTTTGCATCAGTACATATTTACATTCCCTCCTATAATGTAACACTGACTGGAATCAACCGTAGAAGAAGGAAGAGAACTATTGCAAAATAGTACCCTTCCCTTCTGCTTGTAACCCTGGGAATTGCTCCAGAAGGTTGCTATGGTTGATGACATCAAAAACTGCTGAGAGAGCCAGGATGGACGTATCACCATCCCAAACCCTTCTAAGATCATCCACAAGTGTGCCTAATGTCTACTATAACCTAGTCTGAATCTTGACTGAAAAAAGTCCAGATAATCTACTTCATCCAGGGCCTGGATAAAAAGACTTGTAGAGTGGATGATCCTGGAGACTGGACAAAAGTTGTCCAACGAAGTTGGGTCCAAGAATGACTTCTTGAGAAAGGGGCATATACTTCATTCAAGGAAAACAGAACCATTCTCATAAAAACATATTAACTACTGCTTGGACCGAATCAACCTTCTGGGAGGCCTTGACAAATCAGAAAAGGACATGGGTCTAAAATACAAGTGGCAGAACTCGCAATGATAAAGACCCTCTCCGTGTGCTTGTCTGGCTCATACTTCTCCCAGATAATCTAAGATGGGCTTCTGAGTCCAACTCGGAGGAAAGTCAAGCAAAGCCAAATTTTGTGTTCACACTGCATCTGTTAAAAAGTTAACCTGCTTTTTGTTTTGCCTTTATAGTATTTATTGGGATTTATCGAACTTTTGTTTTGTTGTGTAGATATGCTAAATATGAGTTTTATCTTTTGAGAAGGTAGGCAAATACACTGTACAAAACACTGTCTCGTATTGTACATTTGTTAGATAGCAGCACCTAGCCTAGGCTGATCTTGAAATGCTAAGCAAGGTTAGATTTGGTTATTATTTGAATCAGATGCCATTAGGAAATTCCAGGAAGGTAGCCAAGATTGAGAAGTTGAAAAGAAAATGGAAGAAAATGGCTGATTATTTCCCTATTGCTGAGATAGTGTCATGGTTATGTTGTGCAGTCACCAGTCATCAAGCTCAGTTTGAGGAAGACTATCTTTTGCTGTACATTTGCCTACACTTGTCTCACTATACTTTTTTTTCTATAGTAAATTCTTCATATTCTTGGTTTCTTTTTTTAGGATGTTGGCCAAGGATGAGTTGGTGGCTACTCTTGAAAAATGTGTGGACATTCTTATATCGTCTTCTGCAAAGTGTCTTAGAAAGGCTTTAGAAAAATTGGAGGAATATGTCCATCTACTTAAAAATCTTGAAGGTATTGAAGTTTTGTTAGATATTCTGATTCCATTGTTATTTTCTGCAGCCATACTCACTGAAGAGGTATAGAAAATACTCTTCATTATAAAAAGAAATGCCTGACTTTATGAGAACAAATAAGGAATACATTGGCTGGTCCCTTAAGATTTTTTAGGCTTCCAGGTAGTAAAAAAAAAGTCCACTTGTTAATGTCGAATGTAGCCCATTAGTTTGAGAACCGAAACAATAATGGATGTATTGCAATATAATGGATTGCATTTTAAAGTGACATTTCTTGAGGATCACAGTGGCTTTTAGCTAAATTGTTGCATTGTTTTTGCTGTTATTGGTCGACTCAGCATCAAAACTTACTCCGCAAAACTGAAACGTTTTAAATGCCAGATTAGAAGCTGAAGAAAGACAAATAATCAACAATTGGTTGAAATTAAAAGGCAGGTTGTAGTTATAGGTATGGAAATATTTCGTAACAGTAACAGCAGTTCATCAGTGGAACCAGTTACAGGGAAGCAGTGGTCTCTACTGAGCATCTTCAGAAAAAGACCGAGTAAATGTTTGTTGGATGATGTCTTATTTGGGTTCAAGTGCATAGTGGGGGGGGGGGAAGGGGAAAATAGATTCAAGGCCTACATCGATCCGATTCTATGTAATTCTGTGACTACCGTTATATCTTGGTATATTTAACGGAATTGCATGGGGTGTTAATTTCATCTCACACAGTAAAACTAATGTGGGGATTTCCAAACTCAGGTTTCCCTTGCTGTGCTAGTGTGTTGGGAGATCAACTGAAAATGGAGATAAACTGAAAAGGCACCCACAACCTTCCTTGCCTTTTCCTCCTTCCTTTGAAAATCTTATCCCATTTTTTTCATTTGGCCAGTTCAGAAGCTAGAGATAAGCTTATAGATTCCTCATTGCCTCTTTTCTGCCCGTTATAGTATTGCATATCCCAGAAGAATGGCTTCTTCTGGGTTGTAAGAAATAAAGATTTGGGAAAGAGTACAAGAATTAGGCAGTCAATAAATACATGGATTTATTTTATTTTATTTTTTAAATTCGATTGTTTCAAAAATGGTTTCAGGTTCAGTTGTATAGATAGATAAAATTACAAATATGAGTATCTAAGGGGACAAAACATTAGAAATAGAGAAAAATCTTGCACACATATATCAGAGAGATGTTTTTGAGCATTGTATTTGTGTTTTATGTTAGTTCAGTTAGACTCTACTGTCTTAAACTGGGCAGATTATTTGAATGTGCGCATATGGAAGAAGTCTCTGTGTATGTTAAAAACAATAACTAAAGCTGCCTGGAAGGCATTTGAACTGAATTTTGTAATGTCTGAGAATCTGCCCGGCAAGGTTTAATACGGGATTAAGTATTGCAGAGGGATTTCACGGTGTTGCTTCATTTTATATCTCTCTCTTTTTTTTTTTTTTGGAATAAATCCTTAATCTTATTATGTTTGAATGTAGGAAGCCAGAGGAGAGGAGGGGTAGAAAATAACAATTTTTTTTTTCAAAACATGCTGGATTTGATCTTGATTTGTATTTATGTGCACGAAATTACCTACTAAATCCTAGATCCCATGGCATTTTTTAATTTCAATTGCCATCTCCAATGTCACCTTCAATGGAAGATCTCCCAGGCCTCTGAAAGTCTATGGGGGATTGCTAAATATGGGTGTAGAAGTCCAACCAAATCCCACCTGTTTTTCACCTAGTGCAGGGGTAGGCAACCTTGGCTCTTTTATGACTCGTGGACTTCAACTCCCAGAATTCCTGAGCCAGCTGGCTCAGGAATTCTGAGAGTTGAAGTCCACGAGTCATAAAAGAGCCAAGGTTGCCTACCCCTGACCTAGTGCATAGAGCTTCTTCTTTTCTCTGTGGATCCTTTATGGAAGATGATTATACTTGCTTCTTTTTCTTATACAAATCACAGAAGCTAGCGGTGATCAAGAAAAATCCATATCCTCACTGGAAGAGCTTCAGAAGAAAACAGATCTGTATCATCTTCAAAAGGTCAGCATATTTTAACTGTTGACTTTGTAATTCTAATGTTACTAATAAGTTGTCTGGTGTATATAATAAGCCCTCTGAAATCAAAACTAATCAAAGAAAGACATTTCAGCTTGAATGAAACACAGTATTAGAATTTTAATGTATTCCAATGTGGAAAGAGATGCTTCTACAGATAGTATATATTAGCTGTTAGTATTTACGAGGGGGTGGCGTGATCAAAAACATTCCAACGGAACTGCTTCAAAAGTTCTTGGGTGCGTCTAACAGTATGTGGGCAAGCATTATCGTGAACCAACACCACACTGGAAGTCAGCATGCCCCAACGCTTGTTATGGATGGCTCGTCTCAATTTTTGTAACGTTTCACAGTAGACTTCTGAATTGATGGTTGAACCACGCTCCAAGAACTTCACTAGCAGTACTCCTTTGGCATCTTCACATTTGGCGGGATTTTTTATGGCACCACTTCCGATGTGGTGTTGGTTCATGATAATGCTCACTCGCACACCGCTAGACGCACCCAAGAATTTTTGAAGCAGTTCCGTTGGGATGTTTTTGATCACCCCACCCCCATAGCCCAGATTTGGCACCAAGCGACTACTACTAAGGAATTTCAAATCTTGTAAGACGTTACGACAAGTGCCTCAATTTGAATGGCGATTATGTCAAAAAGTAACGTAATATTGTAGTTTTCTAATGTGTATAATAAAAGTTCTGTATCTGCCAATGTCTGACATTGATAACCAAACGGAGGTTTATTTCCGAATTGCCCTCATATTATGCCTGTTCAGTATTTCTGAAGTGTCTTAATACCCATATATATTACATATGTAAAAATATGCAAGTTAACTAGTTCTGAGATTATAGTTTCAGTTTTATTTTGTAAAACTGTTTCTGTCTTTCTGGGTCCCTCTCCATCTTTTTCTGCTCTACTTGTTATTCCATACCTTATTTACAAAATGAAAGAGGACAAGTGTGTGCGTGTGTCTCATGTGCATGTAAATCTGCTATAAAAATATAATAGCCAGTCCAGTAAGAATAATAGTAACAGCTCCAATTGTTCTATAATCAAGCAACTGGAGAAATGGAGAGATGGCCTTTGCCTGACTGGCCAACTATCATGTTGTTCAGTAAAACAAATCAAACCAAGCAGAATTAAAATGGTTGCTTAGATCGCTCTGTTGTATTTGCTCTTGTTGTAGAAGAATTGTGTAACTAATAGGTGTAGTTTAATATCTAAGAATCATCTAGTATTTCCATAGTTCTGTTTGCTTTTGTTAGATTTATGTCCCACCTTTCCTGCAGGAGCTCAAGATAACTTATATGGCACTTCCTACTCCAGATTTTCCCACAAACACTCTTTGCAGTAGTTTTGATTGAGCAATAGTAACTGTCCCAGAATCACTCGACAAGCTTCCATGGCTAGAGATGGACTTGAACCTAAATGTCCCAAGTTATAATTTAATACCTTAATCACTTCTAGCTTGGTAAAAGTATCTTTGCATTTCTATATGGTTATAGTTGCAAAAGAACAACTGGTTCCAATTTAAAGAATAGACTTATTCCTTAAACAATTGAAGAAGCATTTGGCTGTGCACAGACAAAAAAAAATCTGCTTAGTACATAATGTGGAAATACCTATGGAGATGATTAGTACCACTTTGTGTTATAGACTTTGTTGGAGATGAAAGAGTCAAGGAGAGTAAAGAAACTAAC